ATAATATTTCGGTCTAAATGTTGAGTTCATGATTTAGGCCCATTGTATAACAATACTCTATTTAGAGCTCTATTACGTCAAAAATGGTGGGGGGCAAATATTAGGTTTTGAGGGTGAATTTTCATATTTTAAGAATAAAAAAGTTTCTTTTTTTTCCGATGAGTATGCGTGAATCTGGAAAACTACCACCAACCAAAACCCTTTCACTTCTTTGCAAACAACTCACAACCTCATTGCTTCTTACCAATGAACATCAACCACTGCCAAAACCCCATTGTCATCTCTTTTCTTTTTTCGATCAGTCTGTCACCGCCAAAGATAAACCATCAACCCTTTTGTTTCATCTTCTCCTCTCTTTGAACACCAAAACCACCAGCCAAAGATGAGCAGAAACTAACTCACACAACCATCGCTCAACCCACAACAACCACTTTCATTTCCGCCGTTTCCGGCGAAATACCCAACCCCAAACAGCTAATCAAACCACCCAGAACACTCAAGCTATTGTTTTTCCTCTTTCCTTGTGGCTGCGACAAAACACCAGCTGAAACAATCATCAAACAAGTAGCTGAAACAACCAACAAAATCACCCAAACACCTCCCAGATCTTGCCCAACACCCCCATTCCCCACCTTCTTCCGACGGAGAAATAACAAGTGATGACCACTGTGAGGACGACCAGATCTATTCGGGTTCACATTTCCAGCAAACCCAACGAACAGAAAGCTCCAAACCACCATGACACCATAAACAGTGTACTGTACTCTCTTTTCCATTTTTCTTTTTAATAAATTTACTGTTAAATAGTTTAAAGCTTGATAAATTATTTTCTTCTTTCTTTTGTATTGTTGGGCTGCATTTTAGACTATGATTATTTTTGATTTCTTATTATTTGTTGTAGAATGGCTTATTGTCATTAGTATTATTTTAGATCTGGCCGAAAGAATGTCACATTCAGTGAACTCCATCAAATGTCATTTATTTTTTTGTTTGTTTATTTAGTTGTTTTGGGTTCTATGATGACTATAAATTCTTCGTTTATTTCATTTATTGTTTATGAATTCAATTTTATTAATAAATTACTATTCTTAAATGGTTTAGATTAAGTCTACATATTTTGTAAAGTTTTTCCAGCAAACTATCTCTTTAATATTTCTTTGTTGTTTCATTGTTATTTCACATCGTTTAAAATTAATATGCATTTTGTTTGATATGATCTTGCGTTTAGGAAATACAATATGTTAAAATCTGCCGAATGAAGAAATTACCGTCAATCATCAAGACTTTCCATGTTAATAAGACGTATTTTATTTTTATTTATTTATATTTATTTATTGCTAACACTTTTACTAAATGTGTTTACTGGTACGCCGGTGTTGCTTTCAATTGAAGCTATTTCAATGGAATTTGAATCATATTTTTTATATTTATTATTGTGTATATTATTGACGTTAGAAAAAATTAGGATATTTTTTATTATTATTTTATTTTATTATTTGTGCATATTGTGCGTTTATTATATTTGTTTAATTTCCTCATCAATTTGGAAAAAAAAAGAATTTAGTCGGGACCTATATTTTGGATTGCGAAAGATGCCTAACATCTTCTCTTCGAAATAAGTTGAACCCATTACCTAGAATTTTCCGATTTCGTAGGTCACTTTAATTGATTTCCTTGTTTTTTTTCCTAAAATTAGGTGGTGACACTTTTTAAAATTCGTTTATGCTTTAAATTCTTTTAAAATTTAATTAATTTATTATTTTTTGAGTCACCACAATATTTCTCCATATTTGAATAAAGTAGGGATGTAAACAGAATGGCGACTCCACTGGGATATGGAGGTTCTAACCAATATTAATTCATTATTTTCAAATTGAGGAGTATTTTAATTTATTGTGTTATACCTTATATTTTGTATATTTTGTTGATTATTTGTATATTATACTTGTTGTTCATTTATTATTCATTTTATTGTATGTATACGTTCATTGCACTTCATGGCATATTTCTATCGTATGTATAATATATTAAAGGATGGTTTTACGGAATCGCGATTGAACTTTTTTATACTCAATCTTTTTCGGAATGATCGACAATTTATTGGTTCATTATGCGTCCAATGGTTGTCGTAAATTTCAGCTTTCGTTGTTTACTTGGGTTTCCTTTCAAAAGTCACTCCAAGTTAACTAGGGTAGAATTAAACCAAATCCCGAATTTAGAGCATTTTGAATTTAGTTGACCCAACACCCAAGGCGTGTTGGCCCATTGGAGGTCCACCTTGTGTCTATTTGAGCTATTGATCAATAAAAGACAAATCATACGTATGTGTTTAAATTTGAAGGATGTATACGATATTTGGCAAATCATTGTCACTCGGGGTAGGGAACTTAATAGTTTAATCGAGTCGAAGAGGGATCAAGTTATCATTTTATCCAAAGGTGTTAGCATTAGAGATAATAATAAGTTAAAGAGGAAATATTTTCCACAAAAGGCCTAGTTTATGATTGTTCACATGTGTGGGACTGATTATTTGTATTTTTTCCCCTTATTTTGTAATTCTATTTGAATTATTCATAGAATTGTACTAAGTTTTTTGGGGGACAATTGTTAGTTGTCAAATATCGTAATACATCATTTAAATTGATAGGTCTGCCCTTAGCATAAAAGGGTCACATTTGTATAGTGCAATAATTGCTTGTATATTATGTGATGTATATAATTGAGTTTGTCTTCAATCAAAATAATATTTTTTTATTGATTCTTTGTATGATGTTTTGCATTATTCATTATGAACAAAAATTAACACTTTTACCTTTTGAGTTTTTGATATATGTAAGAATCTAGAAGTAATTGTTTGTCTGAAGTTGCGTAAGACAAAAGGATTCACGAAATTGAGTCTTCGTATTTAATAAGACATTAATCTCAAGTCAAAGAGACAAATTAGGGGAGTCCTGACTATGAAGTTACATTTCTTTATTTTATTTATTTTTTATTATTATTATGGCCTAACTTTCACAATTTCTTATATTTTTGTAGGAAAATCGTCCCAGATAATAGTTGGGGATGGTAATAACAATGCGTAATTTTCGTAAATAATTAGTAGAAGACACAGTTCCAAGAGACATTTCAAAAAGACTACAACAACATGTGGTTAATATAAAAAAAATAATAGACCACATTCAACAGAAACTACAAAGGTCGACAGTTAAGAGGACACAAGGATTCGCTCCGAGTTTGTCTAAATTTTTAAATGTTTTATGTCATATTTGAATGAACTACGCGTACCTGATTCTCATTTTAATGAGATACGTAGGCAACCTTTCTTGGGTTCAGTATACATTTTTTGAATAGTAAAAAAAATAAGGGAAAAGGGTTAAATTGCCCCTGAACTATGCAAAATAGACCACTTACATCTTCCATTACATTTTGGGATCAAAGATATCCTCGTGGTTACCCTTGGAGACCATAAATACTCTTAAGAGTTAACAACCCAATTTTTTAGTGATGTGACATGCCATATGGAACTAATCCCTCCACCTAAGCATTGTCAACTAAGATATATTACAAAAGTACTTGACCTTTAGTGGCGACAAAGTTTCCACAAAATCCTAAAATATTGTCACTAAAGGTTATGAGTGATTTTTAATGACAACTAAGGCTCCAACAACCATTCGCTAGTAAAACTTATTTTTCAACAAAAAAATAGATAATTAATTTTTGATTACAACCTAATTTTCTAAAATAAATAACTTGCAATATCAATATTAAAAACACTCGATATTATTGTGAAAAATCATGAAAATTACTTCTGGATTCACATCTTCTACTATACATTTCATCATTGTACATTTTTTACGTTTACATATAACATAAAAATAAAACATACAATGTCTTCAAACTTCTATTAAATCGATATCATTTTTGTTTTTTAAAATCAATGAAGAAAAAAAACACAAAATTAGAATTTAATGTTAAAAACTTTTAATGATGATTTCTCAGGCTTTTGTGGCGACTATTGTCGTCGCTAAATGTCTAGTTCTTTTGTAGTGAATCCTAGTTGACAATGCTTACGTGGATGGATTGGTCTCACGTGGCTTGTAAAGTTAATAAAAAAGGAATAATTGTATATAATAGCAAACTAATAACCAAAAATAAATGGAGTAGCTACTGTTTGATTTAATTGTACCTCATAGCAAACGTTTGCCAATGTTTGTCAGTCGCTTCTCTCCTAAAACTCTCGCTCGCCATTCTCCCTCAGCTCGCCTCTCTCACTTTGTACAACAGAAGTGTATAAATTGTGTTTTTGTTTTGTATAAAGCGAGAGAAAATTATTTATACACATGCAAAAATATATATCTTCATGCTATACACTTAATTATACAATTTAGACACATTTTACTTCGATTCAATTGTACACAAATGCAAATTTTATACAAATATTGCAGCAAAAAAGGTCAGCAAATTATACAATTGCATTGAAATACAATTTTCTCTCGTTTTATACAACATAAGTGTATAAATTGTGTTTCTGCTTTTGTATAAAGCGAGAGAAAAACATATATTTTCTTCCTATACACTTATAATTATACAATATACAAATATTTTACTTCGATTCAATTGTATGCAAAACAAATTTTATACACATATTGCAGCGAAATGGGCCAGCAAATTATACAATTGCAGCGAAATAGGCCAGCAAATTATACAATTTAGGCCAACGAATCATACAGTTGTATATGTATAGCGAGGCCAGCGAATTATACAATTTAGGTCAGTGAATTATACAGTTGTATATGTATAGCGAATTATACAGTTATATGTTTGTTATGAAGCGCAATTGTGCAAACTTTATTATAGCATACAAATATGAATTTTTTATTTGCTATATGTGAAACTTTCCCATAAAAATATGGGGTGTTAACTTTTGAGGGTATATGTGGTCTCTTAGGATAACAACAGGGGCATTTTTTATCCCAAAATATAACGAAGGGTATAAGTGATCTATTTCACATTGTTTAGGGGCAATTTTGACCCTTTTCAAAAAAAAAATAATGAGTAATATTGTGTGCATATTTTCAAAATCTTATCTGCACGAACTATGAGAATCTGATTCTCATTTTGATGAGATACGTAGGCAGCTCTTCATGGGTGCGGTATTCATTCTTTTAAACCCAAAAAAGAAAAAGAATAAAATAATTTATTTATATTTTCAAAGTCATATCTGTGTGAACTAAGCACACCTAATTTACATATCAATGAGATATGTAGGCAGATCTTTTTGGGTTCGATATTTATTCTTTAAAAAACATTGTGCGTATATCGTAAGAGTCATGTCTTCAACTCATTTGGGACCAACGCAGTTAGGACCGTGTAAAAATATTTGATATGATGGAGAGGACTGAATTTGTGGTAGACCGTTGATTTTTTTGGTACCTCTCAATTATACTTTTGTGATGCTTGAAAATTCTCTTGCATATATTCAATATAAGAATAAAATTAACTTTATGTTTCATGTGCATTGTGTGGTGAGATTTAGATCAAAATTCAATTGTATCGCGCTGTTGATCTAGAACTTGTCCTGAATGTTATCAAGGCAAAATCTTGAGTAATGTTTGGTTTGAGAAAGAATTTGTCACGTCCGGAGCCTACACCCTAGACGTGGTCGGCATTCGATGACCATTTCTAGCCTTGATCAAACCATTAGCCTAACTTACTTAACTCAGCGGAAGACAATAATCATACTTTAGTATGAAAGAACTTAATTGAACTGCACAGTAATACTATCTGAAATGTTTTAAAAGTTTAAACATTCAAACTGGCCAAAATGTCAACTCAAGTCTTTAACATAAAAATGAAACGTAAAGACTACTGAACTACTAGTTGTCTATGAAGTCTTTAAATCGACTGAGATGGATGTTGGGGACTAACCCCACAACATATTAATGAACTAAACTAGTAAAGCAAATGAAAAAGATGTCCTACAGAATGCAAGGAGGTTCACCACTAACTTTGGAGCTCGAAGGGGATCAATGAAGCGTTGTGTGATAATCCTGGTTACCTGCATCAACATTATAAGACAATGCAGGCCAAGTGGCATCAGTATATTGAATGTACGAGTATGCAAGTTAGAATGCTAAATACATCTATAAAGCTTGAAACGGATTAAGGGTCAACTTACCTTGGCTCTACTTGACTCACAAGATAACAACTCAATATAAAGCAATAAAGACATATGCAATGTATATAAAATTGGTAAAACAATGTAAACACTTAGCTCATTAAAGATAAAACAATATTAAACTCAACTTTTGTATATATGAAAGTAATACAATTTATATGGGAGTTTCTCTAATCGAAAATTATTGCTCCCTAGTATACAATCAAGTGTAAGTGATCGTGCAAGTAATATAATTTCTTTTGTAACGAGTTATCGTTACCAAGGTACTTATGATCAACTTATATCCACACATAGTTCCACAACTAAAGAGAAAATTAACTATTTCGCAGGTTGAATGTTTTATGATTAACTAAAACTTTTATGAATTGAATTTAATGTAAACAATATTGAATGACTTTGATGTAATGTTTCAGGCAAGATTAAAAGGAATTCCAGAGCTACGGCATATTACGAATGTCATGCATCATAATATTGACTTAAATCAAACTTCAATAGTCAAATTACTGGTTTATAGGGTTGATAATATGATCCGGGTTAAGCACCTCTCGCCTCCTACCCCAGTTAGCTATCTAACTACATTTTTGGCGGGGATAAATAAACAAACTGACAAACATTTATATTTCATCCTATTTTATAACCAAGCAAGGTGTTCGTCTTTTGGGCTCACTCCTGAACACGAATCGCCTCAAGTTAATGGGCTGACCGAGCTCTCTATATTCTCTGATCTATCTAACCTCTCCTATGATAAATTCGAGGTTAGACACTAAATTTGTTCCTAGATGGCCAGTTAAGAAATAGTAAAACAAAAATATAAAAGTAATTTGAATTGACAACCAAAGATTAATCCATAAAGCTTCAAATATTCAACAATCGATTCGCAGTTGCAGCCTAGAACTAGGGAATTTAGCTACTCATACTCATACTATTGAAGAAATAATAATTGTTCTAAAATGAATATGTAAAATAGAAGAATTAAGATGATTACAAACTTAATTCTTGCCCTTGTACACTAAACAAAGATTGACCCCTCACAATGGCAGTCCTAGGATCTATTTATAGTAGTAGATAAAGTTTAATACAAATCCTATTCAAATTAGAATTCCCATTTAATGTTTAAAACTTGGAAAATTCGGAATTCTTGTGAGGATGCGCGGCTAGCAGCATCTAATACTCTGCACATCCTAGCACAGTGCACCTTCATCGCGCCTAGAGACCTTTTCTGCGTGTAGAGCTTTGGCGTGACGCGCCATACAGAGCGCCTCAAAAATGTCTCTAAGTGACTAGCCCTGGCGCGGCGCCCATGCCAGTGTGCCTCGCCTAGGTGCTTCAATGCTTAGTCATTTTTTTCACATTCGTCTCTTCTCCTTATTTTTCTTTGCACAAGCTCCAAATTCTTCGAGAATTCATTAAATTACTAATCATGAGTATAAGTGTTTGATCAACACAAATAACCACAAAATCAAGGTAATAACTAAAGATTTTCCTCAATCATACTAAAATATGGGTCATTATCGACTACCTAGGCATATAAATATGCCTAAAATCAACAACCACTACTATGAGCCTAAGTGGTAATACATCGTCGCCCGTGCTGCCAAAACTGTCTTATACTTTGTCATCGCATAAGACATCCTCAACTAACTAGATCCACTAGCTAACTTACGTCATCATCTAAAAAGTATGACTTGTTATTACCCATGATGTCTATATAGTTTACATGGAGACTTGAGTTAATCTGAACTTTTATCCCCACATCGATGGTCAATACTACTCCCAAAATATACTTTAGCTCATGCTTTTAAAATAGTCTCTTTCCTATGAGTTATGATAACTTGCTCAACTCTTTTAGCTTTAAAAAGCTCATCGTGGAATCAATGTTTCCCTTTTTTATTCAAAATAAAAACTCTTCTCAAACTCTTAGTTTCCTCTTGACTTAAATGTAAAAACATTTATAACTTCCTAGGGAATACTTAGCTCCCTTATACCTTTTGAGAAATGAAGTGAACCTTTAATCTTTTCCTTAGCTTGAACTTGACACTTAAAATGAAATTAAAAACGTTTAAGTAAGACTCTAAGAACTTTGAAAAACATTACATTAACTCACTTCATAGATTTGGACTTGACTTCTTAACTTTCTTAACCTTGATTCTAACTTCCCTTGAATATAATTATAGATTCAAAGATCATGATCTTTCGTTTGTGGATGATTTCATGATGTTTATA